CCCCTTGAGTGTGGCTCTTCCACAAAATACCATGTGCGGGCGCGCATGTACAGTGCAATTGAAACTTCGTGGCCCATGTGCAGAAGTTGGTATTTTGTGGAAGAGCGACACTCAAGGGGCAAAGGAGCCGCATGTGGCTCGCGAGCAGTGGGTTGCGAGCCGCCGGTTACCCACCACTGCCCTAACCTGATAATCCTTTCTTGTTTACCAAACCTTACCACTGATATGTCTGTTTGGTTTGCTCAAGGAGAAATGTGTGAATAAAAAGCCATGGGTCCTAAGATTTGGGGAGCCACTCCACTAAAGAGTAGGTCTCCACCTGGTTCCCCCATGCCTTCTAAATTTATATTTCTTGTCTAGTATATCCATTTGTGCATGGCCCCTTCTCCAGATCCTGAATCCTCACTGCAAAAGGTTGTGGCCCAAGGGTACCTGAGTTGCACATTCATGAAACAACAAGCTAAAAGCAAACATTCACAAAACCTAGAGGGTGTGCTGGGCTCCTAACCTCAGCACGTCTTCCCTGAGGCAGACCAGCCTGGCAGTTCCCAGTTCCCAAGACCCACTGGCTCAGCCATGCTGCAAAACCAAGCATGATGTAGCCCGTGTAAACCAGACACCCCAAACTCAGTGGAGAAGGTATTTCTATTTCCTAGTTAGACTGAGGTGGGGGAAACCACAGGGCTGAGAGTATAAATCAAGTTTGAGTCCCTTGGATGGTACAACCTTGAATCAGGCACTTGTTAACTTTTTTTTTTTTTTACATAATGTAAGGCTTTAATAACTCACTCAATTTCAAATTCTCATAAAATGAGATGGCTCTGTAATGAGGGTGGAGGGCAATTCTGAGAGAGGAGGGAGGAAACTCCAGCAAAGAAAGAACTGCCAGGCACTGTGGACCTCAGGAGCCCCTCCCACATCACGCTCATCATGCATGCTGGCAAATAAAAACAAGCAGCGCTCACTGGGCGAAGGAACAGTTCCAAGTCACGCTGTCTTTCTGCCAGAGACCAAGGCCCTGAAACAGAAGCCAGCCTGGGTTCTGGCTGAACACCCCCCAGGAATTCAAACAAGCCCTGGGTTCCCTCACCCCACCTTCATCCAGAACAGTTCAACGTGCAAATCCAGTGCAGGTGAGAGAATTTCAAATCCAAGGGCATCCCTGTGACCGCAGCTACAGGCAGGTCAGAAGTCCTCCTTCCCTAAAGAGGGAAAAGCACTCAACTTCCATTTATTTGCATCTCCTTTCCAATCTTTAAGGTCAATTCACTCAAAAGATGTGGATGAGTTTGGGTGAAGCACTTCACCTCTACCCCCCAGTACAACCCTCCTTAAGAAGGCTCCTTTCACCTCTTTGGCAAAATCCCTCTGCTCCCACACCCGCTTTCTCCCGCCCTCAGAGAGGGAGGAGAAAAGAGAACTGGGGGTGGGGGGAAGACAAGGTATGAAGAGTTCCAAGACAACCTCATCTTTTCGGGGTTCAATGGTGACCCGGGAATTGGTTGTTGGCAGGGTGTCCATGACATCATCATTTCGGATTCTTAATAAAAAGACAACTTTCCCATAGCCAAATGCTCCTCTTCCCACCCTCTCTTCGGGGAATTGAAACACAAGCTTTTAAAATGCTGCAAACACATCACAGCTGCATTTTCAGATGTTGCATTTGGGTCCTGCCCTTAAGTGGCTGCCCTCGTTACCTCCCCCTTTGAAAGAGGCCCCTGGCTAAGTTCCAGGGTAATTGAAATTTCCTGTCTAACCTTGACCACTCCGCCAGCTCCTATTACAGTCCTGGACACACACTGTAGAGTCAGTTTCTTCTGGGCCTTCTCACTCTTCGTTTAAAATCAGGCCACTATTCTGTAGGCTCAGGCTATCTAGTAACACACTTGGAAATGGAGAGGGAACTTTCTCTGGCCTGGCCGATGACGCCTCTGGCTTCCCACACTCATTAGAAAATTCTCTTTATTCTACAACTCACCATTGAGGAGCCAGGATACAAAGACAAATGACCCCTGCCAAAAACCCAACATGCTCACAAGCCGTGAAGGAAGAATCCAGTTTGGTGTGTGTGTGTGTGTGTGTGTACGTGTGTGTGTGTGTGTGTGTGTGTGTGTGTGTGTGTGTGTGTTTTAATCTTGAAAAATGTAAGAAATCCCCAGGCAAAATACTTTTAAATACAAGAAATCACCTTTAAAAGTTCAAAGCATGCTTTGCAGTATCTGCTTGAATCTCTCTAGCCCCGAACGAAAGAATGAGCGTGCTCTGTACCGGTCAAGTCAGGTTCTGAGCAAACTCCAAAGTGACATCAGAATCTGGATCTAGAAACTCTGATTAAAAGTAAAATTCCTACTGAAAGTAATTGCGCTCCTGGCACCAGTGGGGGTTCGATTGGTTTGGCTTTGTTTTCATAGTTAGATGGCAACTCCGTTTGAATTAGGATTGGGCTATGGGAAGACTGATTCTCTTCTGTTGGGGGTGGGATCATCCTGGCTTCGGTTAGGTCTCTGACCTTCCTAGTTCACTCAGATAACCTAAACTGGTTAAGAGTCTGACGTTCCTAAATCTGAGGGCATCCTTGAACGGACTTTCCTCATACCCCCCAGAAGGTGGGGAGGAGGCAATCATGGTGCCCCATGGTCTGGGTATCTCTGCTCACGCACAGTAATGGGTTGAATAGGGTCCCCCCAAAATTCATGGTCATCCAGAACCTCAGAATGTGACTTTATTTGGAAACAGAGTTTGCAGATGTAATAAATTAAAATGAAATCACACTGGATTAGGGTGGGCCATAAATCCAATGACTAGTGTCCTTATAAGAAGGCCACGTGAAGACACAGACAGGGAGAGCACCATGTGACTATCAAGGCAGACCGGCCAGCACCCACTGCCACCCTTTGGTCTTCCTGCTTTCCTGCCACCTTGAGCTCCCTCTGGATGGCCAGCTGGCTCTGGGACCTTCTCCGCTGGAGCCTGTCAGCACAGGGGGGTGGGAGGCCTGCACCCTGCTGCCCTTGCCCATATTGGGGCAGGCAGGCTATGGGCCCCTCCCACCTGGGAAGGCGACAGTGGGGCTTGGCATTTGGGGATTCGTTGCCTGCCTGGGCTGGTGTAGTCAAGGCCCTTTCACAAGATGAGGGGGGTGTCTATCAACTACAGTCTCTGCCATGTTCTAGGCACCGAGGATGGATGAAAACTTAAGTGATAAAATCTCCCAGTCAGAGGAGGCCCTGACCTTGGCGAGGTAGGGAGAGCGAAGTTTCAGCTGCTCCCAGATGTGGGAAACTGGGAGAAGCACCTGCAGGGTGCTCATTAGCTCAGGCGGAGGTGCTTAAGTTTGTGGAAGCTCAGGGGGTGGGCCAAGGAATCCTTGTTTTTGTAGGGTCTGGGTAGCCTGAGAGTGGGGCAGGGGAGGGAGGGCCTGGACATGGACAAAAGAGAGGTAGCTGGCTTAAGAAACAGAGAACCGAAGCACTGCCAGCATCATCTGAGCACCTGGATCCAGCCATACCTGACCCCACTCACTGCCTTGTTACTATGGGGACTCCCTCTGTTACTCTTAGGCAGCCAACTCACAAACTTGTCCTCTCAAAGACTTTTCTGCAGGAAAAAAATTATAGCAATAAAAATAAATAAATGAAACCCAAATCACTGCAAAGCAACTGGAAGAAGGTCCCCAAGATGCCCTCCCTGAATCCAACTGGACTGGGGGAACTACTGGTCTTCCCACGAAAGGCATAATCCCAAACAAATCAAAGGGACTCTGACAAACCACTCACTGATTGTTCTTCCACCTCTGCCCCAGTTGCAGGCATTTCTTTTGCCCCAACTCAGCTTTCCTTAATTGCCTCATCAGGTGTGAACACCAGAGAACACTGCCTGGAAGCCAGGGATTCAGACATTGGGGTGTCAGGCAAACGGAAAAGGCTCGGTGGCCTCCGGGTGCCTGCCTCTGCTGACCTCCCCACAGGGGCTGGCGCTGGATTACAGCCCAGCCTCAGGCTCGGGCCACACGGCGCCCTTAAATAGAACCTCCACGGGAGGACAAACATTCCAAGAGCTTTAAAAACGCCCCAAGCATGACCTGGCCGGAGGCCTCGCTCCCCCAGACATTTTTCTGGTCTCGGCCCTATTCTGGAAATAATATTAATAGCTCGGCTAGGAGCTTACGGTGTGCAAAATAATTCATGGCCTTGAAGGGCAGGAACGATTGCTGCTCCCATTCTCCAGTTGAGAGAACTGAGGCCCCAGGAGCTCCCAAGCGACAAGGCCGTCTAGTGGGGGCTCTCTGCTCTGCCTTCCCCGCCGGCTGGGGCTTCCACAGCAGGACAAGAACGAGCCCCCGCGGGACGGCCGCCAGCTGCCGGGTGGGTTCCGACAGGCGCCTGGAGACAAGGCGACGCCCGCAGGAGGCTCCCGGACCCGCTCGCTCCAGGAACGCCCTGATCTTCTGCGAAGAGTTTAACCAACTCCCAGTTCTCAGCCTCTGTTGGTACATCAGACCCCGCGCGGCAGCCAAGGATAACTTTCCTCTTTTATTTTAAAAGATAAAGGACAACAGGGCTAATTTCTCCCTGGGGAGATAAAAGCTGGCAGGTGAGGTGCGGCGCGTCTCCGTTTCCTAGAAGTTGTGCTTCGGTGCAAATCGCAGAACGAGGCGGCGGAGGGGGCGGGACCCGTGGTCGCCGCCCGGGGGCCCAGAACCCGGGAGCTGGGCTCCGCTGCCCCAGGGGGGACACTTCTGAGCTGGGTGTGCGGGCTTTCGGTGCCCCCGACCGGGGCGGGTTCCCCACCGCGCCGGCATAGACTCGGGACGCGCGGGACCTGGGGCGCTGAGTAAAATGCGACGGGCACCCCAGGGATTCCTGCACTGTCCTCCCTCCCATCAGAGCGGAGCCTGGGACTCCCGGCCAGAAGGGCCGACCCACCGCCACTTCCCTCCTCTCCCTCCCAGGTCCCCAGGCTCGGGGCTCTCTGGGGCGCACGGCGAGGGCAGCGCTCACTGTTTGAACTTGCTCTCCAGGTCCTTGATGAGGCGGCGGCTGAACTCCGGGAACTCGGTGTAGGGGTTGAAGACCTTGCAGCGGCGGGGCCGCGCCGCG